ACCCCCAGCGCACCCCCTATGGTGTCGGAAAATGCCACGCCTGCTGTGCCCTGGACGGCGGGAACGGATAGCGGCCGCGCTCGGGGACCACCCCCCGCGCACCCCCTTATGGTGTCGGGAAAGTGCCACTCCAGTTTTGCCCTGGACGACCGGCATGGACAGCGGCCGCGCTCGGGGACCACCGTCTGCGCATCCCCTATGGTTTCGAGAAAGTGCCACGCTTGCTATGCTCTGCGCCATGGCCCGCATAGACTCCGCGCTCGGGGACCCCCCCCTGCGCACCCCCTTATGGTGTCGAGAAAGTGCCAAGCCTGCTATGCCCTGCGCCACGGCCCGCATAGACGCCGCGCTCGGGGACCACCCCCTGCGCACCCCCTATGGTGTCGGGAAACAGCCACGCCTGCTATGCCCTGCGCCATGACCCGCATAGACGCCGCGCCCCCGAACCCCCGGAAGTCTCGGCCCCTCCCTGGGACGAGCTCTGTGTCTAGAAGAAAGAAAAGCGCCATAAACAGAAACTGTTGGCGCTACACGCGGATCTCTTGGATGTGCGCTGGACCCCCGTAGAGCGCGCCAGGGGCGGCGCCGGAGGCGCCGCAGGGGGGGCCCCAGCGTGGATGCAAGAAAGCCGCGCGGAGCGCCAAAAGTGTATGCTTATGCCATTGTCTGCGTCTTTTTCTTGTGCGCACGTCTTCTCTTTTTTGTCACGTGCGGGTAGTTTTTTGTCTTCCTCGCTCGTCGCGAGCCCTCTCCCCAGGGCCCGACGGGGGCCCGACGGGGGCCCCCCGGGGGCCGGCACTTTGGGCGGGAGCCTCCCGCCGTGCGCGCTCTCTCGCTCTCTCTCTCTCTCTCTCTCTCTCCTCCTCCTCCTCCTCCTCCTCCTCCTCCTCCTCCCTCCTCCTCCTCCTCCTCCTCCTCCTCCTCCTCCTCCTCCTCCTCCTCTCTCCTCCTCCTCCTCCTCCTCCTCCTCCTCCTCTCCTCCTCCTCCTCCTCCTCCTCCTCCTCCTCCTCCCCTCCTCCTCCTCCTCCTCCTCCTCCTCTCTCTCGCTCGTCTCTCTCTCTCTCTCTCTCTCTCTCTCTCTCTCTCTCTCTCTGTGTTTCTCGCTTTCCACGACGCGGTGGGCCCCGGACCCGCCCGGGGTCCGGTGCGGCGCCCCGTGCTGGTCCTTCCTGAAGGGGCCCAGGGTTTCACACACACACAAACACAAACACGAACACAAACACACACGCACACACACAAACACACACACACACACAAAAAAAACAAAAAAAAACAACAACAAAAAAAACAAAAACAAAAAACACGAACCCCAGGATTCCGAATAGCTTCCCATATTTTTGGAGCTTCGTCTTCCCCCCACTTCCCATCTGTTTTGGATTCGTTCCTCGGGAGTCGGCGATTCATTGTGTCTGTGTGTGTGTGTGTTTCTTTCCCTCCTGACTTAGGCGGCGCGCCCAGGGGGGGACGTGAGAAGTTCGGGGCAAATAAGGCCCAGCCCAAACCCGGGGAGTTCGCAGCTGGCCCCAGATCCTGCAAGTCTGATGGCTGCTTTGTGCAGGACAAGACCTGCAGCATGTCGGAGGCGAGCAGTGGAGATGGGGAAGGAGGAAGCATGGGAGCCAACCCGTTTGCATACGAGGCTGGTCGGGCCCCTCATAAGAAAAATCCGATAGGAGTCCATGGTAGGCGCGAGGAGACGGAAATGATTTGAGGTGTTGATGAGCGCTTACCAATCTGTCAGCTGGGAGCGAGGGTGTGATTGATAGAGACGGGTAATAGCGCACCAAAGCCTCACCCTCGAGCGAAGAATCGGTGATTCGAGCGCAGTCTAGATAAGCAAGTCATCAGTTTGGACAGACTGGGACACAGAACATGGAAGCGACATATGTAGGCATGTTCGGATGACCATATCCTACAGATGAGCCGTCTCAAGACTGAAATGATGCCTCAAGAAAAGGATCGAGCGGAGAGACGAGGAGAACGAGAAGGAAGACAAGCAACAAAAGAGGAGAAGGGAGTAGGAGGGGCTGGCGGTGGTCACTGCAGAAGAGAAGCACGTCCCGAGCAGAGCAGCAAGCACCGCGACGACGACGACGCTGACGACGACGACGACGACGACGACGACGACGACGACGACGACGACGACGAGGCGTGCTAACGATCCGCACCGAAGCACGGCTTTTGGAAAGGGCCCACCCTGCGATGCTCGGTACAGACCACACGGAAGCACTGGACCCCCGTGGACCGGCAGCCAGATACCGTCGGGTCGCTGAAGAAGGAACCCTCTTCGTTGGGGAGGGGCTCCGCGTTCCTTAAGTGTTTCGCAGCTTGCCTGAGATGTTCCTTAGGGCTTCGATGGGAAATCGAAGGTCAACTTCTGGAAAAAAGGAGCCCCGCTCCTTATTTATCAGGAGGGGAAAAAACACACAGACACAATTATTCGTCGATCCCTAGGAAAATATGGGAAAATATGGGAAGTGGTGGGGAAGACAAAAACCT